ACATGTAATATTTTTTAAAACTTCTCCCTTTTTTTTTTTTTTTTTTTTTGGTGGGGGGAGGGGTGCATGTAGCATTGCCCTTAGAAGTATGCATTAGCACTCATTCAATAAATCTTTAATTCCTAAATCGAGCTGAGTGCTGGATATCGTCTTCCCAAAAATTTTGGGGTTATTCTTTTCGTACTTCAATTTTGTAATTTTGAGTTTTGTATTTTAAGTGCCTATTTTGAAATTACTGAAAACATGTTCTCGTTGTCAGTCTAGAAAATTGTTTCTCAAAGCATAAGACTAGAAAATGCGTTTACTTTGACATTTTGAGAATATTTTTTTATAATATTTTATTCAAAAATCTGATTATTCAATAAAATTTAATAGTTTAATGTTAATATAGTATTAAAGATAGCATTAGTTGAACTTTATAGAATTATTTCATGTTAACCGTTGGATTTTATTTTTATTTTAAACTAGTAACCAACTTCAATTTTTGTTCCAATTTGACCATTATGCACGTCTCCATGATTAAAGCTTATTATTCGTCCATATCTCACGAATTGTTTGAAGTTCTTAAAATCAATTCCATTTGTAGTTATTTTTCGTTTCCATCGCTACGCAAGTAATGAAAAATATACAACAATGAGTGACAAATTCCACCTCATTTTGAATCGAGACGATAGTTTTTAATCGTGCATAAATACAAAATGGCCAAATCAAAATCCAATAACATGAAAATGTTCGTGAAATGTAAAACTTGTCTTGATTAAAACTTCAGGCTTACAAATTACTTCAAAAGTATATAATCCTTTTGAGGCAAATAACACATTTGATGCTATTATACTCACAATCAAGTATCATATCCAAGAAAATAACATCCCCTCTATTCCAATTTTTTTTTTATGGGAACATCCCCTCTATTCTAATGCAAAAAATGGTGTGCAAAACATGACGTGGCTCCATAACTTGTGCTTTCCATTCACAAACTGGTTGTGCAAATTTGATTTTCTCAACTAAATTGTAAATTCCTCTGCAACTCCAATCGAAAGAAGCAATACATACATAGATGATTTCTCTAAAATGGCAGTGTGAGGGCATGAACCTAACCAAAAAGTTTCACAAAATTCAGCATTAGCATAAAACTAAAGCCAATCATATGACAGTGAGTTAACAAAAAATTATGATCCCATTAGATGTCACTTTTCTAATGACTGAATGAGCACAAGTTTGAAGCTCACCTGGACTATAAAGACATTAGGAGATGGTATCTTCATGCAAATATACCAAAGCAGCAAAAAAAATTGAACAATTGGCTTGAGCATAAGCATTAAGGGACGAAGTATCTTTGGCAGATTTCGAACACTAGTTGGCCATTGCGGCTATCCAAAACAAAATAGAGTTATTCTTAATGTCTTGAGAATTTTAAGTACAATCAGTCCAGCAGTGAGTAATCATACCATTTTGTGAATACGAATAGATGAATTCTCTAAAACGGCAGTGTGAGGGTCTAAACCTAACCAAAAATGATAAAACTTCCCATTAAAGGAAACACGTAAGAACTAATGATTCATTTTCTTTACTCAATGAATTATTTGATCAAATGACACAATATGAGTAGAAATTACAAGCTCATACAAAAGAACCTAGAGAATTTGACTAACGAATAAGAGTTACTTTTCACTCAGCCATAATAAGATACAAGCATACCTCCATATGCAACAATATCAACCTCTAGAAAGGCCTACAAGAGAAATTAGAAGTTCAAAATAAACAACTGTGAAAAGAAAAAACAAAAAACCAGGAATCAGATAATGTTTCCACCAGAGAAATCTTTTGTTCGATACAAATCTCTTTGTTCATTAGAAACGAATGATAATGATGTTCTTCCAATAATTTCAACCCTAATTGTACTCATCAAGATTATTCTTCTAACTCTTGCACAAAATTTCATTCCAACAAGATTTTATCCAAATTTTTTGTTATTCCAGTGGCATACAACGTGAACTTTTTATCAATAAGCATACGCAAATATATAATCGAGTATGTCAGGTCACTGGAGATTAAGTAGCACCAGAAATTAAACAAGAGAAGTCAATTTATAGTAACTAGGTAAATTCGTTCTTATGCAAAAATAAAGTCAACAAAAAGTTAAATAGCAACTAATCCGATCATATTGAAAGAAAAGGAAGTTAGTCATGAGTGACCCTACCAATCTTCAAATTCAAAACTCTAAAAAGCACACAAGCACACAAAACTCTAAAACGCACACAAATCTTTAAATTCAAAACTCTAAAATGCACATAAAACTCTAAAACGCTCCCACACTGTATCAGATTCAGCAGCAAATTTGAATCCCAATTCTAGAAAAATCGCCATTCGTGATCCCCAATTGACCTAGTTTGATTTCTTCAAATTTCGACGTCGTCATGTCAACCCATGGTGGCGGACCACATAGGTCGACGACGTCTACCTCTACTGCACCTTGCCCAACAACATGCCCGACCCAATTTTGCTCAGAACAGGTGGAGGGAATGGGTGTGAGAGAGAGATATGCGGTGACGGAGAGAAATGGATATGAGAGTGTTTCCTGTGTTTTGAAAAAATGCCGGGTTTTTGCTAGAAAACTCTCAAAACGTATTTTTAGAGGTTTTGAGTTTTGTGTACAATTTTTTTTTCCAAAATTCATTTTTGAAAATGGGAAGGAGAACGCGTTTTCACCCTTTTGAAAAATCGAAAATAGAAAACGGCTTGAAAACAATCCTTATTCTCTCTTTGATATAAGAACAACACTAAATGGTAACGGTGCATGTTTGCAACCCAATTTTCTTCAAAGTTTCCTTTCTCATGTCCCCAAGAAGCAAAATCATTTGCTTTTCAAATACAAGCTTAGGGATGGAAATTCAGCTTGCCGGCTCGAGACGCTCGTGGATCTGCCCAAAAAAGTCTAAGCTCTCCTTGCTCGAGGCACGGGCTCACAGGCCATTAAAAAAAAAGGAAAAGCGGTAAAAAGGCAACAATTTTTTAGGGAAAAAATTGAGTCTGCCCAACTCGAAAAGGATCGAGCCTAAATTTTTGCTTGACTCCACTCAAGGGCTAAAAAAAAACTCACACCAATTTACTCAAGCCAAACCCAAGCCTCGAGTTTCGGCTCGGCTCGACTCATTGACATCCCTATACAAGCCCAACATAAAATCTCTTCAATGGCTTTGGTTTGGATCCTAATTTAGCAGGAGAAAGATCCCAATATACATCACTTTTATGTAAATCTGCTTCTAATTTCTTTGACCCTTTCTTTAAAGAAAACTACCAAGGTTTAATATCTATCCTATAGGGACAAAAATTGGTGCTATCATCCATCCCTCCCAACGCTAAGACCATTTTCAATGGTCTACACTAAATTTGGTATAATTTAGTGTAACATCTCTAATGGTTACAACATATTTTCTACCAATGGGGCAAACTATTGCAAATGGTTTTACACTAAGAGTGTGTTTAATTGTCTTCATGGATAGAATAAGAATGGTCTAGAACATATTTGCATGGAAATTATTAATTTATGTGTTTGATTAGTTTAATTTTTAACCTACAAAATATTATACTTGTCCTTTTTATTAGTGAGTAGATGAAAAAAAGGGGGGGAGAGAGAAAATATGTATGAATTATCCAAAAAATAAAAACCTACCCCTCATTAAGGAAAATTTTTATTTTTTTTAAGGAAAATATAGCCACGTGACAAACATTTGAAAATATTTTTCAAGGAAAAAAATGTTAACCAAACACCTTAAAAGTAAGAACTTGGGGCGAAAAAAAAAAAAGAAAAAAAAAGAACATTTTCCATAAAAAAAATAAATAAAAAAATTAAAGCCAATCAAACACACCTTAAATTTTACACCAAATTTTATTTTGAATTATTTTATATCAAATTTTACAAATTATGTTATTACGAAAATTGTAAAATTAGAAATTATATTTAGTGAACTTTGGCCTTTATTAATAAATTGAAAAAAAAAATAAACATAGTGCCGAAAATTATAAAAATTACATTGAACGCACAAGGAAAATTATATGTAACGAAAATGATAACTCATTTTGTCATTTATTTATCGAAACTAGTATATTCATCCTACATATGATCAATTAATTCATTTCGAAGTAGAAAGTGCACTGTTACATCCTTAATTTGACTATGTCGAGCAAGAAATTCTTGAAATTAGATATTTTCATCTACAACCATCTCGACTTTCGAAGTTGGCTCTTTCATCGAATGTTTAATTCATGCATTAACATACGTTCATTCTCGATTATCATATTGTGCATAATAATGCAAGGTAAGACACGTTTGTCCCATATGCATGCTAGTCTACATACAATGAAGAAATGTGATTGCAGAATGTCAAATGCACGTTCCACACCTTTTCTACATCCTTCTTGTTTCATAGCAAATAATTTCTTTTGGGATCATGTGGATCATGAATTGTTTGAACAAAAACAACCGCTAAATAATAACCCATGTTATATTCTTTTCCTTGTTTAACATAATGAGTGGAAGTAGAAATGCGAATTATCGCTCTTGTTCTGCATCAATAGATTCAATCTCATTTGTAAACGTTACTTCACTTTCACTTTATAATGAAGATGAAGTAGAAGATAAAATATATATGAGATGGACCTCCAATATTAAAATTCATGCTCGATGATGAATTGAATTGAATAAGGGGTTTACATTTATAGAGAGATAATCTCATTATCCTCTATATGAATATGTATTATTCAATCTCAACCATTGAATGGAAAAGACCTTTCTGAGTATTAAATTTTTGTTTTAGTTAAATATAGTATTGTACTTTGTTGGATTTTTTGATACCCAATAATTCGGGCGATGATTTAAAATAGTTGTCGGATTATTTATCGACACCATGGACTTGGCTTGGTTCGGAGATGAACTACACTTTTGGATGGCTCGGGTTTGGGTTGGATGATTATTTGGTTAGTTGGACCATTTAGTGATTAATATAGAGTTGGAAATTGGCCCATTAGTTTATGTTATATGGCAGCCCATTTAGAGGTCTCTTGGCCCATATTTGGTGACCTAAACTAATCTATATATATGTATCTATCTCCTAGCCGTTTTGTGGGTGTGTGTTGTAACAATGGAGAGGAGAGTTGAGAGAAGAGAGGCGGCCGAGAGAGAGGGAAGCCATATGAGGTTGTGAGTGAGATTCAACCATTTTGATATCTCCTTCTTTCTCTCCATACCTTTGTGGATTGCTAACATCACCACCCTTCTCCTTTGTGGGGTTAGAGAGAAAGAGAGCAATCCAAAGTGAAGGCAAAAGTCTTGGGTCGAGTTGAGGTAAATTGGTGTTCATTTGATTATTTTCTGAACCCAGAATCAAGATTTATCGAGGGATTTTCACGACATACTTTAATTTATTTTTAATATATGTACGTTGTTCCTGTGCTAATTTATTAATTATTAAATTTGTAACTTTAGATTCTTTAATGAACAATTTTAATTTATTGTTAATATAATTATTACTTACTAAGAGATTAAAATTTAAAATAAATGTCAAATAAAAATAACTATCATATTAAAATAATTATGAATCAATTAAAATTTATTAATACTGAAGTATTAAATAAGGACATAGATGGTTGAAATAATTTATATAAATTGTGAACAAGCGTGGCAATGGAGGAGACTTTATACCAAATTAGTGTTTTAAACCAAATTATCCATTCAACATGGATAATAAATTTTTAATTTCAAACTCTCTTGTGTAATATGATTAAAATAGATAATTTATTTCTAAGATGATTTTATGATATTTGTTTCTCGGTTTCTCAGCTCATTAGAAGTACAAAAATGATACTTGTACAAGGGTAGTGTACATGGAATTTTACAAGTGTTGAGATGGCAATACCTAATTGACTTTACCCAAAATCCAATGAAATGTTGACACATTATATTCTGTAAAACTTTCTGTAAATTTTTCTTGTACGTGTAACATTGCTCTTAGAAGTATGCATAAGCACTCATTCAATAAATCTATAATTCCAAAATTGAGCCTAAGTGTTGGATATCGTCTTTCCAAAAATTTATTCTATCTTTGATATAAAAACAGCATTGAATTGTAATGGGGCAGGGACGCAACCCAAATTTCTTCAAAGCTTCCTTCCTCATGCCCCAAGAAGCAGAATCATTTGCTTCTCAAATATAAGTCCAACATAAAATCTCTTCAATTGCTCTGGTCTGAATTCGAATTTAGCAGGAGAAAGATCCCAATATACAACAACTTTACATATATCTGCTTCTAAATTCTTTAACATTTTCCTCTTAGAAAACAACCAAGGTTTAATATCTATCTTATAGAGGCAAAAATTGGTGCTATCATCAATTCCAACCTTAAGACCATCTTCAATGGTTTACACCAAATTTGGCGTAATTTGGGGTAACCTCTCTAGTAGTTACAACAAATTTTATACTAATGGTGTAGACCATTGCAAATGGTTTGAGACTAAGAGTGTGTTTGACTGTAAGTATGAAACTTGCATGGAAAGAGAATAAATTTTAGATAATTGAATTGCCTAGAATATATTTGCATGGAAATTATTAATATATGCGTTTGACATGTTTAATTTTTAACATACAAAATGTTATACTTGCCCATCTTTTACTGGTGGGGAAAGGGGTGAGAGAGAGATTGTATAAATTGCCTAGAAAATAAAAACCTACCCCCTCATTAAGGAAAGTGATTTTCTTATTTTTAAGAAAAAATATAACCATGTGACAAACTTTTGAAAATATTTTCCATGAAAAAAATGTTAATGAAACACCTTAAAAGTAACAACTTGGTGAGAAAAGAACATTTTCTAAAATAATAATAATTATTATAATAATAACCAATCAGACACATCTTATATTTTACATCAAATTTTATTTTGAATTATTTTATACCAAATTTATTTTACAAATTATATTATTACAAAAATTGTTAAATTAGAAATTATGTTTAATGAACTAAAATATTGCCTTTATTAATAAAATTATAAAAATTATATTGAACGGACAAGGAAAATTGCATATAACAAGAATGATAACTCGTTTTATCATTTATTTATCGAAATTAGTATATTCATGTAATATATGATCAATTAATGCATTTCAAAGTTTAAAGTGTACAGTTACATCCTTGATTTGTATATGTCGAGCAAGAAATTCTTGAAATTGGATATTTTCATCTACAACCGTCTCGACTTTCAAAGTTGGCTCTTCCATTGAATGCTTAGTTCATGTATTAACATAAGTTCATCCTTGATTATCATATTGTGCATAATTATGCAAGCGGTCATTTTATCATGTAAGACACATTTGTCCCATATGCGAGTTGGTCTACATACAATGAAGAATTGTGATTGCAGACCATTGAATGCACGTCCACATCTTTTCTACATCCTTCTTGTTCCATAGCAAATAATTTCTTTTGGGGTCACGTGGATCAGAATTTTTTGAACTAAAGTAGACCATTTTGGATATATACCATCCACTAAATAATAGTCCATGTTATATTCTTTTCCTTGAATAACATATGAGCAAGAAGAGTGATAAGTGCGTTTTTTGTACTTATTTAATGG